GAATGGAAAATCACTCATATATTTAATTGGGTTCAGTTGGATTCCACTCTACATTCATTTTTGGACTTTGGCTCTTTTAGCAAATGCCATGACTTTCACTTTTTGGAAATTATCTACCAGTCCTATTCCATTTGCAGTGCTGAACTACAGAGCTTATTGGCATTCTAAGTTGTATGTGTGAGCAGGAGATAACACCTACATCATCTCCATATAGGACTATTATGTTGGGAGTATAATAATCTGTGTTAGTCACGGTGTTGGTCACAGAGTTAAAGAATAATTAACAAAGTGGGGCCCTGAAATATATCCCTGACACCTTGTCACTCTCAAGTGTGTCACGTTAAATGTGGGAAACGGAATGGGACAAGAGGAATTTAAAATTCCTGTGAATTTGCTTTATTTAGAATATTTAGAATCAAAACCATGTGTTTTGCTTATGGCAAAGCACAAATTAAAATATAGAACACTAAATTAAAATTTATTTTTATTTCACAGTTGTTTTCTTAATTCTTGCAGGACCTGAAAACCCTTGGCTGGTACAAGCATACATCTCTGCTGCTAAGCACCCTTTTGGTTCTATCGTGGCTCAAGAGGTGTTTCAGACTGGTGTTATCCCTGCAGATACAGATTTCCGTATTTACAGAGATTTTGGCAATGTTCCAGGTGTGTTAGATAGGCTTAGCACGATAGCTTTTGGGGCTGTACTTGGAAGGACAATGAAAAATAGGTAGGAGGATTGTCAAGCTAATAAAAGCAAAGAAAAGTTTGTGGTACAGAGCTGTCCAATGATGTTCATGTCTAATGTTGGATGTGCACATTGCAGATTTTCTGAGCCAAAGAAGTAGTAAGGTAATGAAGGTGAGATTACAAAGACAATGGTTTTATTAAGAATACTGAGTTAGACAAGGAGAACCTCCCTTGTTCCCCATTATGGCTGGGCCAGCGCACATTCACAGTGCTTTACAGCCCTCTCTAAGTGGTTTACAGAGTCAGCATATTGCCCCCAACAGTCTGGGTCCTCATTTTATCGACCTCAGAAGGATGGAAGGCTGAGTCAACCTTGAGATTCAAACTGCCAACTGCTGGTAGCCGGCAGTCAGCAGAAGTAGCCTGTAATACTGCATTCTAATCACAGCAGCACCATGGCGCTTCATAGTTATTTTAACGTTACTTGTCAATAAATTAATTTACACTGCTCAAAAAAATAAAGGGAACACAAAAATAAGACATCCTAGATCTGAATGAATGAAATATTCTTATTAAATACTTTGTTCATTACATAGTTGAATGTGCTGACAACACAATCACACAAAAAATATCAATGGAAATCAAATTTAGCAACCCATGGAGGTCTGGATTTGGAGTTACACTCAAAATTAAAGTGGAAAAAAACACTACAGGCTGATCCAACTTTGATGTAATGTCCTTAAAACAAGTCAAAATGAGGCTCAGTAGTGTGTGTGGCCTCCACGTGCCTGTATGATCTCCCTACAATGCCTGGGCATGCTCCTGATGAGGTGGCGGATGGTCTCCTGAGGGATCTCCTCCCACACCTGGACTAAAGCATCCCCCAACTCCTGGACAGTCTGTGGTGCAACGTGGCATTGGTAGATGGAGCGAGACATGATGTCCCAGATGTGCTCAATTGGATTCAGGTCTGGGGAATGGGCAGGCCAGTCCATAGCATCAGTGCCTTCATCTTGCAGGAACTGCTGACACACTCCAGCCACATGAGGTCTAGCATTGTCGTGCATTAGGAGGAACCCAGGGCCAACCGCGCCAGCATATGGTCTCACGAGGGTCTGAGGATCTCATCTCGGTACCTAATGGCAGTCAGGCTACCTCTGGCGAGCACATGGAAGGCTATGCGGCCCCCTAAAGAAATGCCACCCCACACCATTACTAACCCACTGCCAAACCGGTCATGCTGGAGGATGTTGCAGGCAGCAGAATGTTCTCCACGGCGTCTCCAGACCTGTCACTTTTGTCACATGTGCTCAGTGTGAACCTGCTTTCATCTGTGAAGAGCACAGGGCGCCAGTGGCGAATGTGCCAATCTTGGTGTTCTCTGGCAAATGTCAAACGTCCTGCATGATGTTGGGCTGTAAGCACAACCCCCACCTGTGGATGTCGGGCCCTCATACCACCCTCATGGAGTCTGTTTCTGACTGTTTGAGCAGCCACATGCACATTTGTGGCCTGCTGGAGGTCATTTTGCAGGGCTCTGGCAGTGCTCCTCCTGTCCCTCCTTGCACAAAGGCAGAGGTAGCGGTCCTGATTCTGGGTTGTTGCCCTCCTACGGCCTCCTCCACGTCTCCTGATGTACTGGCCTGTCTCCTGGTAGCACCTCCATGCTCTGGACACTATGCTGACAGACACAGCAAACCTTCTTGCCACAGCTTGCATTGATGTGCCATCCTGGATGAGCTGCACTACCTGAGCCACTTGTGTGGGTTATAGACTCCGTCTCATGCTACCTTCTTCTTCTTCTTCTTCTTTTTCTTCAGCGTTTGTCTCGCGCTCTGGCGAGGTCCGCTAATGTCCTTGAGTACTGCTTCCACGCCTCTCTGTCTGCCACGTATGTCGGGTCTGCCTTCGCGATCTCTAGATCGGCCTTGATCGTGTCCATCCAGCGTTGCTTAGGTCTACCACGCGGTCTCGCTCCTCCGACAATCACCTTCATCGTAGATTTGATGATGGATTCTTCCTTGGCGCGACTCACATGGCCGAACCATCGTAGCCGGGACTGCCTCATGACCGTGGGGATGGGCACGACGTTGAACCGTCTGCGCACTTCTTCATTCCTGACGCGATCGAGTAGGGTGAGGCCTACCGACCATCGGAGCATTCGCATCTCCATTGTCTGGAGTCTGCTTTCAACTTCTTTGGTCGTCGGCCAGCACTCTGCGCCGTATATGGCCACGGGGCGCACCACAGAGTTATAGATTTTCGCCTTCAGGCGCATCGGCATCTTCTTGTCACAGAGGACGCCCGTGACGGACTTCCATTTGCCCCACGCTGCGTTGATCCTGGCTGCCACCTCAGTTTGTAGTAGGCCTTCTTCCCCAAGAGTAGTTCCCAGGTACTTGAAGGTGGAGGCGCGCGGTAGCTCCTGCCCGTTCACGTGGATGGAACCTGTCGTTTCGTTGTCAGTGGTCAGGTATTCGGACTTCTTTAGGTTCAACCGGAGCCCAAACTGCTCGAGGCGGTCGTGCCACTGTTGGACTAGGTGCTCAAGTTCAGCCTTGCGCAGGTTGGCCAGGAACACATCATCGGCGTAGAGCAGCGTCCATGGGGCGGGCGTGTGCAGGTCGTGTATAATTGTGTCCATCACCAGAATGAACAGCAGTGGTGAGAGAGCAGAGCCCTGGTGTACGCCGACGGTGATATTGAACTCCTCTGATGTCCCAGCTGCCGCTTTTACACGGCTTTTGTGACATCTGTATAGGAGTTGGACCCATTGTACGAGTAGCTCGGGCACGCCGTGATCTCGCAGTGCGTACCAGATGAGATCATGCGGGACTCGGTCGAAGGCCTTTTCCAAGTCCAAGAAGGCGGTGTGGAGCGGGATTTTCTTCTCTCTGTGAGCCTCCATCAGCATCCGCACACCGAAGATGGCATCGGTGGTGCCGCAGTTCTTGATGAATCCGGCCTGGTTGACGCTGATGTCGACGATGTCCCGAATGCGCTTATCGAGGACGCGTTCGAAGATCTTCATAGTGTGTGACAGTAACCTGACCGGTCTGTAGTTGGAGCAGTCCGCTGGGCTGCCCTTTCCCTTCCAGATCGGAACAGTGGTGCTGCGGTACCAGTCGTGTGGCACTATTCCCGTGGAGACGATGTTGTTGAACAGCTCGCACAGCCACAATGCCGAGCCCGGTAGTGCCTTTTTCCAGAAGTCGGCAGGGATGTCGTCTGGTCCTGTTGCCTTACTGTTTTTCATGGCCTTGATGGCGTCGGTGACCTCGCTGGCGTGAATGCCTGAGACTGGGCCTTCGACGGGGTCACCTCGCGGGGTTCGTGGGTGTGGGAACTCCTCGGTGGAGATCTTCTCGAAGTATTGCCGCCACCTCTCGGCAGCGTCTCTGGGGTTGACGATCAAATTTCCCCTTTCGTCGTTGATCCCATGAAACTGGTCAATGTCCAGGGTCTTCCTGTGTCTGCTTTTGGCTAGGCGGTAGATCTCATTCTCGCCTTCTCGCGTGTTCAGCTTCTTGTAGATGTCGTCGTAGTGGGAGCTTCTGGCTGTCGCTACTGCTTTCTTGGCTGCCTTTTTGGCCGCCTTGTACTCGCAGAGCTTCTCGCTGGTCTTGTCCTGAAGAAAGGCCTTGTAGAGCCGTTTCTTCAGGTGCACGGCATCTTGTACTTCCGGTGTCCAGAGCCATGTATCTCGTTCGATGCGTCTCCGTCCTGGCTTGGTACAACCAAGCTGTTGGCAGCCGGCAGTGTGAACAGTGCTCTTCAGCATGGACCACGTCCGTCTCATGCTACCACTAGAGTGAAAGCACCTCCAGCATTCAAAAGTGACCAAACCATCAGCCAGAAAGCATAGGGACTGAGAAGTGGTCTGTGGTCACCACCTGCAGAACCACTCCTTTATTGAGGATGTCTTGCTAACTGCCTATGCTTTCCACCTGTTGTCTATTCCATTTGCACAACAGCATGTGAAATTGATTGTCAATCAGTGTTGCTACCTAAGTGGACAGTTTGATTTCACAGAAGTGTGATTGACTTGGAGTTACATTGTGTTATTTAAGTGTTCGCTTTATTTTTTTGAGCAGTGTAGTTAGGAATACTTTGTAAAGTTATATTACAGGGTTATATTAAATAACATGATTTGATTTAATTTTGCTGACAGGAATAGATCTGGCTTTCATTGAAAATGGTTACATCTATCATACAAAATATGACACGGTGGATCGAATTTTGACAGATTCTATTCAGAGAGCAGGTTAGTGTGTGCAGTTTTTCATGACTTTCAATGGCAAGATAAGATTAAATTATTGTTCCCCTTAATGAAAATTGAAATTAATAGGCCCAAAATCTCAGTATCCTAAAGATAACACTTTGAAAATAAAAAGTTTATGGATGAATGTAATTAGGTAAATTAATTTTGCTTCTCCTATATTAAGGAGTTTGGGCAGAGTTAATTGATTTTAATTACTAAAAACAATTTAGATATCATAGCTTACTTTTATATACTATTCCTTGAATATTTCCCTGATTACATCTTACTTGCTTCTTTATCATTATTGGCCCTGCAGTATACTGAATTATTTCTCTATTTATATTGTTTTGTAATTAATTTTAAAAACTCAGGCCTGCAGTATATTGAATTTTGTCCAGCCCATTTACTGTTTCCCTTTCAATTTTTATTTGTTTTGAGAATTTAAAAAAATCAGATTCCAATTGTTTCATGATATAATATTAACGAAATGGTGTGCTGATAAAAGACAAATCCTTAATATATATTATTTTTCTCCCCAAGGTGACAATATCTTAGCTGTGCTAAAATACTTAGCAAAGTCAGATATAGCAACCAAATCACAGGAGTATCGACATGGAAATGTTGTCTTCTTTGATGTTCTTGGCATGTTTGTTTTGGCTTACCCAGCTCGTGTCGGTGCCATTATGAATTGCATCATTGCATCAGTTGCCATGCTTTATTTAGGCAAAAAAGTTCTACAGCCAAGAAAAAGAGGTAAGTTCATTTCATGTTCTGTTCCACACAGACAACACCCAGGAATATTGTTCTGTTTAAGGATAAGGAACTGTATATAAAATATAGAAAAAGAAGTAGGAAGTAAAATACATTAGAAGCAAAAGTAAAGGAAAACTAAGTAAACCTTGTTTGCATATTGTGGCATATGGATTTTGGGCAGAGGTGGGTTGCTGCTGGTTTGCACCGGTTCGGGCAAACCGGATGCTAATTTTACAACCGGTTTGACAAACCGATAGTTCTGATGACTGGCTGGCCCCGCCCCACCACGCCATGCCCCTCCCAGGAGTCCCCACATGGCCCATTTTGGATCCCAGGTAAGTGCTGGGCCTGGCCATTTTTGCCCTCCCAGAGGCTCGAGAAAAGCCTCTAGAGCCTGGGGAGGACGAAAACGCTCCCCCCCCCCTTGCCATGGTGCAAGAGGCCAACTAGGCCACACCCACCATGGCCATGCCCACCCAGCAACAGGGCAGAGTACTGGTTGCTAATTTTTTTGTAGCATACCCCTGCCTCTGGGGCCTGCCAAAGCCACTACTTTGCAGATCTGAGCCAGACATTGGAGTGAGGAAAAAGAGAAAAAAGAACGTTTAGCTTTGACAACTCTGCTGTCACGAAGCTGAGAGCTGATCTGGCTGCTACCAGTAGGACCTCCTCAATTGTTATGGGACATGCTGCCAGTTTAACCAAAAATTGGAGACAGCGAGAGAAGGAATGGAGAGAAAGAAAGAAAAAAGAGTAAAGTTTATAGCTGAAGCAACCAGAGATGCTGGAGAGAAAAGGACGGAGACAAGTTGGAGAGTAAATCAGTTGGAGAGAACTGAATTGAAGGATTAAGTGTTGGTTCTTGTTTGAGGAGAGGAGAACAATCCAGGGGTTGCTTTCCTAAATGTCAGGAAGCAAATAGCCAGTGCCCAAGACCCTGGAGGGGTAGGAGGAGTCTGCTGGTTGCACTGCGGTAGCTTCACCTAAGATTGGAAGAAACAGAGAGAAGCAGCTGCTGGTAGGGAAGCTCTGGTTTTGGAGGAAAGCTGGACAGAAGACCCTGAGAGAAATTCTTCCCCCTATAGAGAAATGGAAGGTATTAAACTGAGGTGGATACTAAGCGATAGTAAGAACACTCCAGTAATCCCAGCCAATTCCTTTTTGTTTCTCTCTAGTAAAGTCCAGAGGAAGATGGAGAGAAACAGGAGGAAGCAGGGGAGATAAAGGGGGATGGTCGCTGATGGATAGACTTAGTAGGAAGGCTCAACGTCAGAACTGTGAATTATACCCATCCTGCTGTAAATAATTGTATGAAGTCGAAAGCATAAGCCCTCTTCTATTGTTCTGTGTCTATTGCCACCTTTGCTCAGAGATAGACCTCCAGTTCGAAATTAAACCCTGTCACACTATAACATATAAATGGCACCAACAACGGGCTAATTATCCCCTTGTTAAAGGGCCAGTTGTTAATACAGAACATGGATATGTGACAGGGAGGAGTTACTGAATCAAAACAGACCAGTTACCAGAAGCTTGCTAAGGCATTTGGTGGTGGTCAGTGGCAGATTAAGGCTCACTGGTGCCCTAAGCACTGACAAATCTTGGTGCCCCCGTCCTTTGTACATACTGTATAAACAAAGCCATGTTCTCAACTTTGTGGTGCCACCTTTGGGCCTGATTCCCTAAGCACATGCTTAGTCTGTTTAATGGTTAATACACCACTAATGGTGGTGATTGTGGGGGCGGGAGTGAAGGCTTGTAAATGGGAAGGTCCAATGCAAAGCATACAGGAGATGCTACATGTGCAATGATAACATCTTGTGAGAGGACAGGCTGTCTGCAAAGTGGCCAGCATCTCCTGGTGCCCTGTCCCATTAAGATCTGAGCTTGCTTGTTTTCTTGCAGATGTTTCATTACCTAAAATTAGGTAACATCATCAGTGCTAGTTAAGAAGTGGGGTTTGCTCTCAGTTTAAATTCCAATGGCTTTTCTTGTCAGTGTTGGCAGAAGTTCTTCGATTGGGCTGTTTACTGTTGGTTGGTTTGGCAGTTCCTTGATTGGGGTACTGTTTATACTTAAAGGATTTTTAAACTTTTCAAGTTTAAGACTTGTGGACTTCAACTCCCAGAATTCCTGAGCTAACATGACTGGAGGAGGAATTCTGGGAGTTGAAGTCCAGAAGTCTTAAAGCTGTCAAGTTTGAAGACCCCTGGTTTATTTGATTGTTGGTCTGATGTTAATCTTGGGTCATCTGGTTGCTGGTGGGGGAGGTGTTTTGGTCTTTTTGTCCTCTTTTTGGCTTGTTGATTGTCTCTTTTGCATAGATATTGTTTATGTCTGTGAGTTTATTGGTGGCTAATTTGTCAGAGCACACAGAAATTTCATAGCATTTTTGGACTTGGCTTGGTCTAGGGTGGTCACTGTTTCCCAGTTGAAACTATGGTTTAAGTCTGTCCATATGTTGTGAAATTAAAGAGTTTTTATCATGTCTTCTGACTGCTAGTTGGTGTTCATGGATGCGTTCTGCTAGTCTTCTGCCTGTTTGTCCTTCACAGTGGTTGTTGCACTCATTACACTGTATGTTGTAGATGACTCCTGGTTTTTATTCTAGGGCTGCTGGGTCTTTTGGTTTACTTAGGATGTTTTAAAGGGCTTTAGTTGACTTTTGTGCTATGCTGATTCCAAGTGGTTGTAGTAGTCTGAGATGTTCTTGAAGTATCCATTAAGACCTTTCCCTAGCCAGCCCAGCAACCAATAACTATAAAAGCTGAGCAGAGAGGCAGCTGGGTGTGATGGAGTTGATGCAAGAGAGAAGATGGTTTGTGAAACTAAAACAGCCTGAAGCACCCTAAGGTACATAGAAGATTTACTGTTTTCAGAACTAGGGCTCACAAAGAGAAATAGTAGAGGAACAAGAGTTGTCATAGTTTTGGGGAAGAGTGGCATAGTACTAGCATTTGGGTACTTGTAGGTGTATCATCTAGAGGCCAGTGAGAGAGTATGAGTCAGGAGTAATTCTTTGGAGAAGTCTGAGCAGAAGTGAAGGAAATAAGAAAGAAAATTTGAAACCCAACAGAGAGCTTTCAAGTAGCTTGTGCAGAAACTGAAAAAGGAGGGATGTGGACTGTTTGGAAAAATGTTGGAAAGGAAGGACATATCTGAGGATGATGTGGAGGCTGAAGCCATATCTGTGCCAGTGTAATTACATGGGATGGAGGTGGAAGAAGAAGAAGTTCCACAGGACTTGCTATATTTGAACAGCTGTCAAAAACAGAGAGCTGGACAAAAAGAAGCAGGAGGCTAGATTAGCCACATGCTTTATAGTTACCAGTACTTAACAGGATTATAGAAGATGGCTAGATTAATTCTGTGTTGCAATTATGAATGTTTTAAGATGGAGGTTGTTAGGATATGTGCAGAGTAACCCTTGTGTAAAAAGGATATGCACACGGAAAATGGTTTATGAGAATAGTTATGAAGAAATATACAGCCACACAGAATTGAACAAGTTGTATTAATGTTTACTTGAAGAAATAGCACAGTCCAATAAACAGTCCATGTCATACACGTTTTTAACAGTCCAGAAATGGGCGTTGGTAGAAACTACCATGAACGCCCTTTCTATCTATGCTGCAAGAGAGCCCAGGATGGGTTGACTCCTTCCTATGACATCATTTAGCTGAGTCTGTACTAAGATATAAAAGCCAGCCCCTGGGAGAGACCCCAGCTTTGGCGAAGATACTTGACAGACTGAAAGGTGTCTCTGAAAGCACAAATGAATACAGAAATATGTCTTACCCTCTCCGGACGAATCAAGGGAGGGGCTGGGCTCTCTTGCAGCATAGATAGAAAGGGCGTTCACGGTAACTTCTACCAATGCCCATTCTCCATGCTGCATCGAGAGCCCAGGATGGGACATACCAAAGCTTGCATGTCCACGGGCGGGTTCTTGTCCGGCTCATCACACCAACTTTGGAACCACTTGTTGAAGCACCCGTCTGCCGAAGGCTGCAGTCACCGAGGCAAAGGCATCCAGACAGTAGTGTCTGATGAAAGGAGACGGAGATGTCCATGTGGCCTCACGACAAATCTCCTCCAAGGATGCTTGGGTCGCCCAGGCAGCAGAAGTGGCCGTGCTTCTGGTAGAGTGTGCCGTCAGACCTCGGGGAACCAGAAGAGCCGCAGCTTTGTAGGCCTGCTCCATGCAAGACCTGACCCACCTGCTAATAGTAGGAGAAGAGGCCTTGTGCCCCAAGTGAGAAGGGAAAAAGGAAACAAAAATGGCTTCCGACTTCCTGAAGGAGGAAGTGCGCTTAATGTATATTCTAAGAGCCCTTCTTACATCTAGCGTGTGCCACTGCCGCTCTAAGTCATGGTGCGGGAGGGGGCAGAAGCCAGGCAACATAATGTCCTGGGACCTGTGAAACAGGTGTTAACCCTTGGAATAAATGAGGTGTCCAGATGAAGAACAACCCTATCGTGAAAGGAACAAAGGTCCTGTCTGATGGAAAGAGCAGCAAGCTCGGAAACCCTCCTGGCAGAAGTGATGGCAACAAGGAACACTACCTTCAGAGTCAGGAAACGGAGAGACACTGTTCTAAGGAGTTCAAAGGGGGGCTTTGTAAGGGCATTAAGGACCATATGAAGGTCCCAGGAAGGATACCTGTGAACCACCAGAGGGTGCAGGTTGGAAGCCCCTTTCAAAAACCTCCTGACTAAAGGGTGATGGGATAAGGAAGGAAGCGAACCCCATGAAAGGACCGAGGAGAGGGCCGCAACCTGCCTGCGTAAGGTGTTGGGGGCCAAACCTTTCTCCAGCCCATGCTGAAGGAAGCTAAGAACTTCTGCCAACTGGGCTGAAGCAGGCGAAAGACCCTCCCTGAGGCACCTTCGGGAAAAAGGTGACATCATAGATGCGCCTTGTAGAAGGTGTGCGAGATGCCAGGATAGTGAGGATAACCCTTTCTGGAAGATCAGCCTCCTCTAGCCGCTGCCGCTCAAATGCCACATGGTCAGCTTGAACCACTGGGGCTCTGGGTGGAGCAGGGCCCCCTGGTGAAGGGAGATTAGATGGGCTGGGATCCTCCAAAGAGAAGCCACAGATAGGTTGACCAGGTCTGCAAACCAGGGCCTCCTTGGCCAATAGGGTGCCAGGAGGAGGAGCTCCGCTCGTTCTTCCAACATCTTCCAAATTACTGCCAGAATGATGGGAAGCGGGGGAAAGGCGTAGAGGAAACCCTTGGGCCATCTGCACCAAAGAGCATTGGTCCACTCCGCTCCCTGGCAAGGAAACCTGGTGAAGAATCTGGTGACTTGGGCGTTTTGAGGAGTGGAGAAGTGATCTACCTCCAGTGTTCTGAATCTGAGGGAAAGATCCCTGAATAGAGACGGAGGAATGGACCATTCTGCCTGTTTGACTAGGCTCCTGCTGAGCCAGTCGGCCCGGGAGTTGTCGACCCCGGAGATGTCCGCCGAGATCGACAACAGGTGTTTCTCTGCCCATAACCCCAACCGTAGAGCCTCTCTTATGAGGGCTTTGGACCTCGTCCCCCCTTGCCGGTTGACATCAGCCTTTGCGGCCATGTTGTCCGTAAGGACTAGAACATGAGAGCCGGTCACTGATTGCCTGAAATGCTTGAGAGCCAGAAAAATGGCTCTGAGTTCTAGCCAATTTATGGGAAGGATCTGCTCTGATCTGGACCAAACGCCCTGAGCTATCTGGCCCTGCGTATGGGAACCCCAACTGGTTATCACTAGCCTGTCTGGGTCTCTGAACAGGAGTCCCCTCCAGATAGATGGGGAATACCACCAATTGAAAGATCTCTGGATTTGTGGTGGGAGCGGGACCTTGATGGATGAGTGGCTGGTTCCTACTCATTGGTAGGGAAGCAGGAACCATTGCAGGGGGCGGGATTGGAGCCTAGCCCATGGGACAATGCCAGTACAGGAGACCATCTTCCCCAGAAGTTTGGACAGCAGCGACAGGGGGACAGTTTGATGTTGCTGGATCTGGCTGATGATTTCTGCAAGGCTCTTTCCACGAGCTGGGGACAGGAAAACCTGGCACGACGTGGTATTGATGACTGCTCCCAAGTGTTGCAGTTTGGTTGTGGGAGAGAGCTGGCTCTTTTTGGTGTTGATGAAAAATCCATGGCTCTGGAGATATGACAGTAATTTGCAGATCCCGATGGGCTGCATGGATGGAAGAGGACAGAATCAAATGTTGTCCAAATAGCATTGGATCCTCACTGGAACAGAATGCAGAGATGCCACCAATGCTGCCAGAACCTTTGTGAAGACCCTTGGAACCGATGAGAGGCCGAAGAGAAGTGCTCGATACTGGTAATGGGTATTCTGATAACAGAAATGGAGAAACTGGCGATGATGAGGCCAAATTGGGGTGTGGAGGTAAGCCTCCATGAGATCAATGGAAGAGAGGAGGTCGCCCTCCCGAACGCTCTCTAAAATAGAATGCAGAGTCTGCATTTTAAATCGCCTGTATTTTACAAATTGGTTGAGAAATTTTAGATCAAGGATGGCTCGCCACCCACCCGAGGCTTTGGGAACGATGAAAAGGCGAGAGTAAAGCCCAGGTCCCTGTTGAGAGGGAGGAACAGGTTGAATAGCCCTGATTTCAAGAAGGTGCTGAATGGCCTGATTCATGAGGGCTTGCCTTGAAATGTCCTGAGAGACAGGACAGATCAAAAAAATTTCTGGGGGTGGCGTTAGGAAGTCCAATTGTAACCCTGACCTAATAGTGCTGAGCACTCAGGCGTCCGTCGTTGACTCCTCCGATTTGGAGGCAAAGAAGGCTAGGCGACCTCCGATGGTTGGGGAGAACAAGGGTTTACTTAGAGCGGCGGAAGGAACGACCCCCTCCCCCCCGAAAGGGCCGTTTACCAGTAGAAGGTTGTTGCCTGTCAGATGCTTCCGCATGTTGGTCTTGGCGTTGAGAGTACGGCCTCTGAAAGCGGAGGAAGCGAGATGAGGTCTCAGCTCGAAAGGCAGGAGGGCAATAAGGAGCAGAGCGATAGTTGGCTTTCTTCCCAGAGGAAGAGAGAATTTTACATTTATCTCTAGTTTCAATGAGATAAGGTTCCAGAGCATCACCAAAAAGCTTATCGCCTGCAAATGGAACTGAAGCCAGCTTCCATTTTTGGCATGACTCCACCTGCCAATTTCGGAGCCATAAAAGTCTTCTTGCTGCTATAGAAGATGCCATGGCCTTGGATGCAAATTTGGTGGAATTGAGAGTGGCATCCGCAGTGAATTCTGCAGTTTTGATAATCTTATTAAGGTCTTGGTGAGACCAAAGGTCAGAAGCAGGCAATCTATTCTGGAGTTGGCGCAGCCACTGTATGGATGTCCTCGTGAAAAAGGATGCTGCCATTGAAGCCCGAACAGCCCATGCAGCAGCCTGGTGATTGCACTCGAGGGTCTGTTCGGAACGTTTATCATCCGGTTTCAAGGTATCTTCTGGCTCCGTGGGAGTGCCAGAAGATGAGAACGAGGCCAGAACTGGAATGTCAACAGAAGGCACTGCCAGGGCATTGTCCAGAGCTGCGCTGACATTGTAGAAACGATTATCCAGAGAAGATGGGCGAGGACCTGCTGAAGGGGAAGCGCACTGTTCCTTGACCATGTCCAGGAACAAAATGGGAGAAGGCAAAACCTCTGCATGTAGTACAGGCTTGGAGAAGAGCGAGTCCCCTTGGCTAGAGGGATTTCCTTGTGGCTCAGGAGCCACTTCCTCCGGGGACAGCTTGGCAGTGACCAAAGCCTTGCTGAGTAATGGCCTGAAGAGAGTAGGTTTGAAGACCAACGCAGAGGATGTCTGCTCTGGGCGAGAATCCTCTTCCTCTGAAAGATTTTGGTCAAAAATCTCGCCCTCTTCACACTCTGAACGAGAGGAGTAACTGTGTTCAGATGGCTATCTAACAGAACGTTTT